GCCTTTTCTTTTAAAAGGCTGGGAACTGAGGCAGGTGGGGCAGCCAAAGGGGGTGGGCTGGAGGAACAGGCAGGGGCTGGGGGCTGGCAGGGGTTGCCCCATGGTCCTGTCCCCCTAGTACTTACCAGCTCGGAGTCGGCTGCAGCCACCAGGGACTTCCCGAATCATCAAATCTCTCTTAAATCTTTCCCGAAGATTTGGAGGCCTTTGAATTGATTTGGACCTTTTTAATTGGTCCCCTGATTCGATTCAGATTCGGAGATTCGGCTACCGAATTGGGCCAAATCTTCTCTGAATCGAATCATCACCCAAAGCTTTGCGCAGCCCTATTCTAAACTTCTAGAGCATTGTAATGTAATCAGCAAAAGAAAATGGCAACTCCAGTAATTTATTAGAATTTTGAATACATCATTAAAACTGAATAGAGGAAAATTTGGTTGAGGTGATTTTATTTAGGTCATGGATAGATATGCATTGAAGTGCTCTGATTCCTGTACTGAACCACACTCATAGTTAAAAATTTCTTTCTAATTTTTAACACATTTCTTTTCTTGCAATTTAAGACTTGCTACTTGTCCTGTCACTTGTGGACACTGTGTATACCAGTGATTCTCAGCTGGGATACAGCCTCCCTTGCTTCTCTGAGAAAGGCGCGTGGGGCAGGTGGAACTGTCGTCAGAACCTCTGTTTGCAGGAGGAGCATGGGGGGCTATCCAGGAAGAACTGCGGTGGGAACAAGCACTCCTGCGTGCTTTAGGTTTGTCTGGCTGCACGAGACAAGTGAGGCAGTTCCTCCTGATTTTGTGGCAGCAACAGCAGCACCCAAGTTGAGAAACACTGAGGTAAACTGAGGCAGTGCAACAGTGGCTCTCAGTTAGGGTGCCATGAAATTAAAAAGGAAAAAAGGTTATGGAGAGATTGCCCAAGGGTGCATCTCTACAACAGAAACACACATTGCCTGTTGTCCCAACCATTGATGTTGCCGGACAACAGCTTTTGTGTTTATTCACCCAGCGAAGCAGATAAGTTGTGCCTGGACATACGTGCCTGGACATACATGCCTTAGACAAGCTTTCAGGCACAAAATTCCTGTCCTCAGATATCATATCCCCTAGCTGTCTCTTCTTCTCCAAGATAAATAATCCTAGTATGTTCCACCTTTCCTTGTATGTCATATTCTCTAGACCTGTATTAAAATAAAATAATCAGGTAAGTCATTTGGATAAAAATATGTATCTTGAGTATATTGACTGCATATGTAGAAAGATTGTGTGGGATTCTCTTTAAAGTTGGAGGCTTCCTGTAATCTTAAATTTATCAGAATAAGTTTGTGCTCATTCAGGGTGTGGCGGGGACAGGGCAGGGATTTGGAACTTCCCTTATCTTTTTTTTTTCTGCCATCGATCTCTGTCTCAGTCTTTCAGGAGGAGGAGGAGGATGTCATATAGCTCCTTCTGAAATCAGTTATTCCCCTAGTTAGTCAGAGGAAGTTGATAGAGATCATCACAAAGTGCATCTTTCTCTCAGAAACGGAATACGCCCAACCCCTTGACACCTACAGTCTGTCAGTAAATCTCTGACTTCCTAGTACCAGTCCTACTGCTTATGAAATTGCAAAAGAGTGAAGTTTGACAGGACTCTGGGGTTTTTTTCCACTATATAAGGGACTGCCTATTAAAACATTCTAAATTGATTTGTTTGATTGTTTTAATAATCTGTAGGCAAGTTCTAAAGATACAGGACAGCTGTATGCTGCATTACACCATCGGATCTTGGCTCTGCGGAGTAGAGTGGAACAAGAGCAGGAAGCCAAGAGCACAGCACCTGAACCAGAAGTATCACAGTCGAATGAGGAAGATAGTGATGATGATGATGTCATTACTCCTTCAGGATCAGCTGGAAGTGGTAAGCAAGAAAATATACAAATATTCCTAGTTTTTGTACTGATTCCACTTTGTTCTTAAATCAAGCAAACTGTCTGCCCTTTCCATTAATATGCGGAAAGACAAACTTGCCTGCTCTCATAACTACCTAGTCACACTCATGAGTTATTTGTGACTTAAGTAGGAGATCCATTTCATGCACCGTGCTTATGGTCAAAACTATTTAGTTCCATCATCCTAGTAGAAAACTTAACATTTGTCCCATCTTTCTAGAACTGTTGAAAAACTTCTCAGCATAGTTTGGCACAAAGATGCCAATGGGATTCTGTCCTGGTTACAGAATTATTAATTCCTGCCTTTTTGTTCTATTTTTGATTCTTGCTGTTGAGTTTTAAAGGCTTCATGAGGTATTATTTCTATTTTCAACCTCTCAGTTTTGACCTTACTAAAATACTTCCCACTTGCCACAGTTTCCAACTGGCTGAACACCAGACTTGACTGCAGGAAAAATGGTGGCAGCTCAGTGGCCATGTGACTAGTCAGGGTACAGGAGAATGTGGAGAAAAAGGACTGAGAGCAGTCTCTATTGTGCATGTAGGAAGGATGTAAAAGAAGTGGAGGCTGGTGAGGAGCAGGGGTATGCTGCCAAGAAAAGGTCATCAAAATTTTGAATAGAACAATCCTGGCTTCCCATGGCTACTTTTACTACTGCCAGTTCTGCATCCCACTTTACAGCAGGAAATAGCGAGGGGCAGACAATGATTAGCAATGACTGGATTTTAAATGGCAGCTCCGCTTTGAGACTGGTAAGGCAACAGATAAAGGAAGTCTCTTGTGTTGCAGCTAGGAGGACAGGGCAGGAGATGTACAATTTTGCAGACCTTGATCTGGGAAAGAAGAGATGTAGAAATTCTTTATTCTTACCTGTCATAGTGAAATTTTAAGACTGGAACTCATCTGTACACTTCTGAGGTGGGGCCCTCTAGCATGTAGATAAGAGGCAGACCTGCACCTTGCAATTTTCTTTCTCTAGTTTTACATCTGCAAATGGTGACTACTAGTTTTTAGAGATGAAGTAGATACTTCTGTAACCAAGCTTCATTCTTTGTTTCAGGTCCTAATGATGAAGGAGATGGGCAGAATGTTGGCAGCACATAGCTGTGAGCTTGTCTGCTTGCAAGGCTGCTGTGAACATATTCTTGCAGGCACCTTTCTGGATAACCCAAGCCAGCTATTGTTACAGGCAGCGTTGAAACCGCCAGAACTTAGGAACCGTGCATCCCTGTTCAGTTGGTTTGGTTTTTAGGTCTGGATCAGTAGAGTCCACAAACAAAAGCAGACTTGGAAACTGCCTGAATGTGGTTTGGGATATGAAAGCTCATCATATTGATGAGCAGAAAAATAACACTTCCCCTCTTCCTTGTAATTGAAATGGCACATTACAGCTTGTCACAGCTTTTTCATTGGGACCTTTGGACTGTTTCTTCAGTAGTTCATGTCTTGCAGGCCTCTAAGACGGAACTTTTCAGCACGGTTCCAACTTGAATACTTCTTTCATAACCTCTGCCACCCT